ATCGTCGGAGTAGAAGAGAGACAGCACCAGCTGTCCTGTGACAAGGATCACAATACTTCAACAGGACTTAAAGCTGCGGTGGCTCAGTGGCTAAGACGTTGAGCTTGTCGATCAGAAAGGTCAGGCAGTTTGGCGGTTCGAATCCCTAGTGCTTTGTAACGGAGTGAGCTCCCGTGAACTTGTCCCAGCTTCTGCCAACCTAGCAGTTCGAAAGCATGTAAAAATGCAAGTAGAAAAATAGGGGCCACCTTTGGTGGGAAGGGAACAGCGTTCCGTGCGCCTTCGGGAGTTGAGTCATGCCGGCCACATGACCACGGCGTCTTCGGACAGCGCTGGCTCTTCGGCTTTGAAACGGAGATGAGCACCGCCCCCTAGAGTCGGGAACGACTAGCACATATATGCGAGGGGAACCATTACCATTATCTTTTAAGACATTCATGTTTAATTCCATCAATCGTTTGAGTCACTGTTTCCAGGTTTGCCGAAAAGTCCTTAAAAATGCCAAGCCCAGATATCCATGCACAGCCTGTTAATAATTATTAATCTTTGTTTCGGCTTGGTGGCAAACTTGTAACAGGAACGCACAAAAGGAACCCTCCTCACAACTGCAGCATTTTCTCAACTGGGTATCTGGCCACATCTGCCAAGCTCCTTCCTTGCTGTATTTATCAAGCCGATGTCTCTTAAAAGAGCATTGAATGGCATGTTCCCGAGGCTGTGGTAGTTGTTCCGGTGGCTATGCAATCGGAGTTATTTTATTGGATGAAGACACTGGGTTTCGCCTGTCGTCGCCGCTGTGTCCCATAACCGGCTAAAACATTCCTTCCATTTTCTCCGCAGTCAAATCCAGTAAGTTTGGAAGCAAAGACGATGGCGCTAATTCCAAAGCAGCTTTGCTTTCCGGACCCCCGGGAATAGGCAAAACCACAACGGCATCTTTAGTTTGTCAGGTGAGTTGAGTTTTCACACAGGTGGGGTTTTTTTGCCAGGGGTAGAGGTTACAGATCTGATCTGCATGAAATGGGGTTTCCTTTTTGCGGGGGACGCGGATAAACAGTGAACAACCATTTGTTAAGAAATGTTTTGCCCCGTTTTCCGACCTTCCTTGCCACCGTTGTTAAGCGAATCCTTGCATTTGTTAAGTGAGTAACAGGGTTGTTAAGTGAATCTGGCTTCCCCATTGACTTTGCTGGTCAGAAGGTCGCAAAAGGGGATCACATGACTCCAACCGTCATAATACGAAGCAGGTGCCAAGCGCCTGAATTTTGATTATGTCACCATGGAGATGCCACAATGGTCGTAAATGTGAAAAACTGTCATAAATCACATTTTAGTGCCATTGTAACTTGAAATGGTCACTGAATGAACTGTTGTAAGTCAAGGACTACCTGTATAATGTCTCCACCGGTATTCGCACCACGGCTTTTCAACCGTTAAAAGGTTGTCCACCTGATTTCTTGGTTTCCCTCTTCTGTAGGGCTCCAAATTGTCTTGCAAATCTTAACTGAGATTACGGGATTATTTTAGAAATTAGCATCTGGGTCTGGACATCAGATTAAGTGTGCTTACTTGTGGCAATCATGAAACCAAGATGAAGGCTTCAAGTGTTGCTTCACACTGCCTTGGTGTCTCTCCACCGACACAATTAATCCTGGTGGCTTAATTTGAAATTGTTTCCCGTAATCCAAATGACTTTAATCTAGTTTTCCATTGCTAATCTGAAACGAGTGATGTGCCAAAGGGGTGGATCCAAGAGTGGGATTCAAATATTTTAGCAACCGGTTCTCTGTCCAGTTGCTGAGTGGGCGTGGCCATGGTGGGCGTGACCTATTTGGCCTCCTGCACCACCACAGGGGTGGGGGCACTTTCACCCTCCCAGGCTTTGGAGGCTGGAAGCACGCCCGTTTCTGGACTTCCAGGAGGCCTGTTTTTCGCCCTCCCAGAGCCTCCATGCGGGCCCTACACTTACCTGGCATCCAAAACGGGCTGTGTGGAGATTCTGGGGAGGTGTGGGCGCGTCCCAGCACCAGTTCGGCGAACCAGTTGTAAAATTAGCATCCGGTTTGCCTGAACCAGTCCGAACCGGCCAAATCCCACCCCTGGGTGGATCGGACTCTTGTCTGCTTGTAAAAGTTAGCCTGTCGCCAAAGCTGTGATTTAATGTCCTCTCCCAACGCTGTTGCCGTCATTGTTTCCCGAAATCAGGAACTCGGTTTGAGTTACGTGGAGTTGAACGCGAGCGACACTCGCAGCAAGAACAGCCTGAAAGAGGTGGTGGCCGAATCTCTGAATAACACCAGCATCAAAGGATTCTGCTCAGGTATCTTCCTCGCTGTGTCCCTGCGGGGTTTTGCTTTTGGTTAAAAGTTGGGAGATCTAAATGGGGGCGTGGAGGGGTGTGTGTGTGTCCCTGTTCAGGATTAAACGGCCGCCAAGCGCATAAGACCGCAAACACTTCCTCGTTGACAGAACTGCTGCTTCAGCCCCGCGCATGGTAATTCTGCTTTAAACCGCAGCAGCAGTTCTCCAGCTGCGTCCTTGGTCGGTAATCCGATTTCCACGCCATTTATACCTGTTTCCCCCTCCTCCATCCTTAGGGGCGTCACGTTCCGTCAGCGCAAAACACGTCCTCCTCATGGACGAGGTGGATGGGATGGCTGGCAATGAAGACAGAGGCGGGATACAGGTAAGGAACACACAAACCCGGCGTGTAAAGGAATGTTTATATTTTATATATATGTCTCCAATTTTACGCGGGAGAAAACCCGAATAACCAAAGACCTACATACTAACACCTGCGAAAACCTCAGAAAAGATATATATATATATATGTATGTATGTATGTATGTATGTATGTATGTATACACACATACACATACATACACACACACACACACATACACATATATCTAGCTTGCTTCAATTTACCTGTTTATAAAAAGTCTGGGAATCTTAATTTTGTGACAGAATTTGGATTCTATTCAATGCGGACCAGTCTGTTGAGTACTTACTACAGTGGTTCTGGACGCAGTGGCTTAGTGGCTATGAGCTTGTCAATCAGAAAGGTTGGCAGTACAGTGGTTCGAATCCCTAGAGCCGCATAACAGCGGGAGCTCCCGTGAGTTGTCCCAGCTTCTGCCAACCTAGCAGTTTGAAAGCACATAAGAAATGCAAGTAGACAAATAGGAACCACCTTTGGTGGGAGGGTACCAGCATTCCGTGCGCCTTCAGTGTTGAGTCATGCCGGCCACATGACCACGGAGACGTCTTTGGACAGCGCTGGCTCTTCNCCCCCCCCCCCTTTTTTTTTTTTTACTGTTGTCTTCTCCCCCCTTATATTTTGCTTGCATTTTACTTCCATGCCCTGTGATTTGCTGGTTGTTTGGAAATGTTAGCCATATATTAGGGTGTCCTTTGGGGGAGGTTTTAGTGAATATTTGCAACCGAAAAGTGAGTCAGAGTTAGCTACAGGCCCTGTGATTCAGTTTGCATTTTTTTTTAAAAAAATGTATCTTCTTTTTGACAGAAAAAGACCAAACCTGCCAAGCCGCCAAAAGCAGAAAGGAAAGAAGAAAAGAAAAAAGGAAAATCAAAGAAAAAAAGCTGAAATAAATTGTCTACGCAAGTTGGACTGTGGGCACAGTAAATAGTTGGGCAAATTCTGCCCCCGTTGCCAAACACTGCACAGCAACGGCAAATATAATTATATACATATTCTTTTTTTGCAGAAAAAGAGGCAAATAGAATTTATATTGTTTGATTCCTATAAATACAGAAAGAGGCTCAGCTCTCTGGGAGAAAAAGAGTCTAAGCTGCTAGTGCTTCCCAAAGCTCCTTTTTTTTTTAAATGCTCATTATGTTGCTGCCCATGTATATAACGTATAATGAAGAAACCCTAATCAGTTTAATCATTTTTGTATATGAAAGTGCAGCACCGTGTAAAAGTTGCAATAAAACTAGTTTCATATTTTTAAGCCATTTTTATTTTTTAAAATGCGTTGCACGTTAAACCGTGGAACTGGTCCTACATAATCTGCCTGGAAGCTGATCTCTGCAGCAGTCGCTTGCAGAACTGACGGAATTCGGTGACCTCCTGACAAGCGGAGTCAACGGGGGGAATCTAGATTCACTTAACAACCGCGTTACGAACTTATCCAGTGCAGTGATGCATTTAACAACCGCAGCAAGAAAGGTGGTAAAATGGGGCAAAACTCGCTTCACAAATCTCTCGCTGAACCAACAGTAATGTGGGGCTCCGTTGTGGTCGTAAGTCATTTACTTGAAGTAACTTGTCCGTTGTCTTGAGTGGCACCATTTCACTAAAGACCCACTTGAGTTTATTAAACTCGGACTGCTCCAATTTAGAACACAGGGAGAGCAATAGCAACAGCTGTTCTGACTTAGGCTTCCCAAAAGCACGAAGCCGACTCCTCGTCCCGTTAAAACCCCTTTTATTTAGTTTATAAAGTGAATTCCTCTCCAGCAAAGTCCCGGCCGACAGTCTTTCAAGAGATTTCACANGCTTTGAAACGGAGATGAGCACCACCCCCTAGAGTCAGGAACAACTAGCACATATGTGCGAGGGGAACCTTTACCTTTACTTCTGAAGTTCATCGTATCCCACCTTTTTTTGCAGGAGCTAATTGACCTTATTAAGCACACAAAAATTCCAATCATTTGCATGTGTAACGATCGGAACCATCCCAAGATCCGTTCTCTGGTCCACTATTGTTTTGACCTCCGTGTCCCGAGGCCGAGGGTGGAACAGATCAAGGTAAAGAATCCTTCCCAGAGGCTCGTTTTGGCTATTTTCTTTTAGACGGGGTGGGGTGGGGTGGGTGATTCATTGAGCAGTAGAAGCTAATGGCCCCTGTAAGAAAACACATTCACGATTTTTGGCTCCTTTCCCGTCGTCAGTTTGTTGAGTGGGGACCCACATTCTGGAATGTTCTGCTTGGAACGTTGGCTGCTCTGTCATCCTTACAAATATGGTTTTTTATTTCCAGCTATATTCGTTGATTCATTTGTAGGGTTTGCTTTAAGGGGTGGGCCAGGCACATGTTGGCGCGCTGAATAGACGCGCCGTCTTTGACAATGAATCTAAAAGGTGGTTTATAACGCCGTTAATAAAGCTTGTGGAAATTGTGACTAGAGCTAAACCCAAGTTGGAGCCTTTTGGATTCGTTCCCCGATGGGCTGTTTTTCTATAAGCACAATCTGAAGTCACATTCTTAACCGCAATTTGAAGTTATCCAATGAAGGAGAAGAAATAAGAATAGAGGTTAGTCCTCGACTTACGACCACAGTGGAGCCCAAAATTTCTGCGGCCAAGCGAGACAGTGAATTTTGCCCCGTTGGGCTCTCTTTCTTGCCAGATTTGTTAACTGAATGGCTGCAGCTAAGCTAGTCACAGGACGGTTATTAAGTGAATCTGTCCTCCCCGTGGACTTTTGCCAGAAGGTCGCAAAAGGGGATCCCAAGCACCCCAGGACACTGCAACGGTCATAAAGGTGAGCCTTTGGCCAAGCACCCGAATGGAAATCACCTGACCATTGAGATGCCGCAACGGTTGCGAGTGTGGAAAATGGCCAAAAATCCCTTTTTCAGTGCCGCTGTAACTTCCGAATGGTCACTAAATAAACTGTTGTAAGTCGAGGACTACCTGTAATAAAAAGTTAGTTGTTAGGGCAGGAAGCGGAACTTGCTCCTTATTATTATTATTTTTTGGCAATTTTTCCCTGAACTCTGCGTTACACCCTTAGACAGTTGGGGATTTAGACAGATTTCTCTGCGTTCATATTTCTACAGAAATGCCTACAGATCTGTTTAATGTAAAAAGAAGACATTGGATGATGTTGCCCAATTCCAACTCTGTAAATGAACGGTGCTACTTTTAAGTCCAAGGGACGTGGTGGCTCAGTGGCTAAGATGCTGAGCTTGTCGATCAGAAAGGTTGGCGGTTCGAATCCCTAGCGCCGTGTAACGGAGTGAGCTCCCGTGACTTGTCCCAGATTCTGCCAACCTAGCGGTTCGAAAGTACATAAAAATGTATTATTTATTTGCCTCTGGTATTATTATTATTATGAGGGACCCAGTGGCTAAGATGCTGAGCTTGTCGATCAAAAAGGTCGGCAGTTTGAATCCCTAGCGCTGTGAAATGGAGAGAGCTCCCATGATTTGTCCCAGCTTCTGCCAACCTAGCAGTTCAAAAGCATGTAAAAATGCAAGTAGAAAAATAGGAGCCACCTTTGATGGGAAGGGAACAGCGTTCCGTGGGCCTTCAGCGTTGAGTCATGCCGGCCCCATGACCACGGAGACGTCTTCGGACAGTGCTGGTNCAATTTATTATTAGTCACAATAATCAGAGGGTAGATGTCCCAAAATACCCCGTTTTCCCCAAAACAAGACACAACCAATTTGTGTTGCCTACTATTTTATTATATGTTTGTATCTTAATGTCTTAATGTCTGTATTCCCCCTTCCCGGTTTTGTGTGAGCCGCCCTGAGTCCCCTCAGGGAAAAGGGCGGCCTACAAATACTAATAAAACCAAAACCAAACCAAACCAAACAACCAGAAAATAAGCCCTATCATGAATTTTCAGGATGCTGAGTAATGTAAGCCCTACCCAAAATATAAGCCCCAGTGAAGATTGTCAGCCAGACTTATGCATTTCAATACCGTATTTCTCCAAAAATAAGACCTAACTGGAAAATAAGCCCTGGTGCGTCTTTTGGAGCAAAAATTAATGTAAGATTCAGTCTTATTTTTGGGGAAACACAGGTATTAATATGTCCACTAGACATTTTCCAAATACAGAGAGAAGACTGACAGAAAGTCAAAGAGAAGGAAAATATATACATAGTCACTAATTTGACATTCTAGGTCATATTTTGGCAGGCCGTACAATGTTTTGGTAAAGCCAACGTACTGTTGAACATTAAAACAGATTCAGACAAGATCAGATACCTCTCTGTGTGTCTGTGTGTAAGCACAAACACCCCCACAAAGCAAATTAGGTTCATTTCTGATTTTTATGCCATTTCTGAAAAACATTATAGCAAATGTTTGCACATTTCGACATCTTAAATGGAGGCAAGTGTTAGTTTTAGGGAGAGATGTTTTTTCCCCACTTAAATTTATTTGCCAATGTACAATATTTCTAAACGTATCACCTCTGCTGGTAGACTTTACCCCAGATAATCAAGGAAAATAATGTTCAGGAAATAGAGGAGTACATGGGTATTTGCCTAGGCAAATTGGTTTAAAGTCAGAGTGGTATTTGCTAACTGGAAATCATTTTATTACGTGATCCTAATCAATCATCCCTTCATAAATAAAATCTCAAACACAGGTGGATCTATGCTGTCGGATCAGTCCCAATGCAACCAGAAGGACGTTTTTCGTAATGGCGCTTCTGGCGAAAATTGGTCCTGCAAACACAAACATAGCAACAAACTTTTCTTTGGCTGCTGTTGGCTGAAATAAATGATGTAGGAAGACGAAAGTGATAAAAAGGAGGTGAAAATGAGAACTGCCGAGGGTCAGCATCCAGACGAAATAAGTGGGAGCAGTTTCGACTTGACAGAAATCTGGATTTTGGGGCAGGCTGTCGCAACGGAAAAAGTTCTTGGCATGTAAACAATCGGAGAATGAAAAAGATTGACAACTTACTTTTTGAACTCTGAATAGAGCGCTGGGAACTCGCAATGGGAGCACAGACTCCAGTCTTCTCGGATCATATGTCGTCCCTGGAAGAATTGCAAGGGGGTGAACACATCAGGCTTCAACGGAAAAAGGGCCACAACTTGCTTATAAGGAATAACAGGCAGTCCTCGACTTATAACAGTTCATTTAGTAACCATTCAAAGTTACAACGGCACTGGAAAAAATGACTTTCAATCATTTTTCCACACTTAACGACCGGCACAGCACCCCCAGGGTCACACGATTGACATTCGTATGCTTGCAAACTGGCTCATATTTACAACGGTCCCCGGGGTCACGCGATCCCCTTTTGCGACCTTCTGACAAGCAACGCTGACGGGGAAGCCGGGTTCCCTTAACCTACCGGGTTACCGATTTAACAATGGCAGCGATTCGCTTCACAAATGTGGCGAGAAAATGTTGTAAAACAGGGCCAAACTCACTTGGCAAATGTCTCGACTTGGCAAGTGAAATTCTGGGCTCCCGATTGCGGTCGTAAGTTGAGGACTGCCTGTATATTTCAATGAGACCCTGAGGCTTTTTGAAGCACAAAATCGAGATTCTGTGATCTCAAAGCTCAGATTCCGAATGCAAAGAGGGGAGGCTCAGCTCCAGGAGCTGAAAGAGGGGAAAGGGGAGTCTCCTAGGAGTTGCTCGCCATGTACTCACCGTCGCAATGCAATATGGCAGGTTGTTCTTGCAGCCCGGGCATAGAAGTTCGCATTCGGGGAGCATGAATTCACAATACGGGCATGGCGTGGTTGGCTCTTCCCCTTCCCCTTCGGAGGTGTCCGGCCGCCTGATAGCAAAACAAGAAGCCCATTATTTGCCTGAAAGAGACACCTATAATAATAGAAAAGAAAAACAGGAGGAGAGAATGAAAGGAAGACGGGGGAAAGAAGAAAGAGGTAAGGAGAGGAGGATGGTAGGGAGAGAAAGANGTCATGCCAGCCACATGACCATGGAGACGTCTTCGGACAGCGCTGGCTCTTCGGCTTTGAAACGGAGATGAGCACCGCCCCCTAGAGTTGGGAACAACTAGCACATATGTGCAAAGTGAACCTTTGCCTTTTTATTAATTTAAATAGAATAATTCTGAATCACTGGCGGGGTTATTAAATTCAACTTTAACCTTTTTGCTTAATTGTGGGAATTGGTCCTTCACTCTGCCGCCTCAACTGTATTTTATCAAAAATAGAGAAAGTGCTAAAACCGTTTCCTTCCTTTTTTCAGGCAATTTATTCGAGCGTCCTGCCTGGGGAGCTGATGAGAGGCTATTTGCAAGAATTTCCAAGTTTCCCAAGTTGGTTGGGGAAATTTTCATCCACAGGAAAGCACGACCGCATCATACAGGAGCTTTCCATGCATATGAGTCTCAGGTAATTATGGGCAGTCCTCGACATACGACTACAGTTGGTCCCCAAAATTTCCATTGCTAAGTAAGACAGTTGCTAAGCGAACGTTGCCCCATTGCAAAGGTGTTCCTGGCCAGAGCCGTCACCTGATCCTCAAGCAGGAGCTGGGAGACCAGGACTCTCAGAGTGGTGCCCTTTCCTAGCTCGAGAAGCTCTTCAATCACTTGTGCTTGAACCCCTTCGTGGCTTCATGCTTGCAGTGGCCTGGACGGGGCACTGTCCCTTAAAACCATGTGGGAACTCAAGTGGTCCAGAATGCAGTGGGGAGTGATGTGCATGCCTTGGTAGGCCCTTGTGCCACCTTTCCTTTCATGCTTGTAGGTGCAATTCAAGGGGCTGGTTCTAACCCATGAAGCCCTACGTAGCCCAGGCCTCTGGTTCTTTGGAAGCCCATCTATCTGTTCTGACCCAGGCTTCCCCAGCCGCACGAAGCCGAGTCCTCGTCCTGATAAACCCCTTTTATTTAATGTACAGTGAATTCCTCTCCAGCAAAGTCTTTCCTCTCCCACAGTCTTTCAAGATAGGTCACAATTACCGACCTTTCTGAGGCTTGGAGAGACGCCACAATACTTGGCAAGAATGCAGGAATGAACTAATTGTCTCCTGCAAACTCCACTCCCCTTTTGCTCCTCTTTTATTCCCTATGGGAGGGGCCATTCACCGACCAACGGTAGCCTTATTCCCAAGACAACCCTTGCTCCTC